ATTAGTCAGTCAAAATACGAGCTAATCAATACTCAAAAAGTCGACTCGATATCCAAGATGGTACAACTACTACGACAGACAGTCACACCAGTCTACACAATTGGTAATTTCCCATGTATTACATTACATATGCATATAATATATAATTGCAATAAAAAAATATGCATTTCAAAAAACCTGCTAAATAACCCGGTATATGGCAATTTTCTCAGCTAGTCGAAATTATTGTTCAGTTTATGTGGGGAACTTGATTCCTTCTAATTATATTATGAATTTCTTTTCCATCCCCAACCCACGGTGCTACGTAAATCAGACGAACAGGTGATTAAGGCGACAAATAAGCGTAATTACATGTAAAATGAGCAGTTCGAATATACGCTGTATCAATTTCTCAGAAATTCAAAGTGGAGAATTGCGTGGGCTCTTTTGAACAATAATTTTATTTTCGTCACTCTTGAACGCCCCTCTAAGGTCAGCACAACAGTCCCGAAAATAAATTTTTTGTTCAACAGTGCCGAAAATCATCAACTTTCGGCACTGTTGAACACTTTTTCATTTTCGGCACTATTGTACTTCGGCATTGTTATACCCAGTGGATTACTAATAAGTTGGAACGGAGGCTATTCTCATGCGCGAAGGACCGAATGGGCGAAAAATCTCGTGAGCGAAAGACCGAAAACAAAATTAGCCGAAAGTCATTTTTTTAAAAAGAAGCTATTGCCATTAAACTAAAATTAATAAAATGAAGCAATATATTGCTTCTTTCATAACGAAACCCTTGAAATTTAAAATTTGTTCCAATTCGGCGGCGGTCAATGACAATTTGAAAATTTTGCATATTTGTGCCGTTTTTATATTCGGCCAATATCAATATTCAGTCCCTGGAAAAGTTTACTTTCTTTCCAAAATGTAGATAACTGAATTCTGATTGGCTGATTTTTATTTTCGCGCATTCGGTCCTTCACGCATGAGGGAATACACCAGTTGGAACAAGCCATTTGCTTATAAACAGTATAGTAATTACAATTCATTTCAAAAACTTTGGAGCCGCATTTCCACGGAGCCGCATTTCCGGATGGTGAATTTCCATAGGTTCCAATATTCATAGCTCCCAAAAAAAATCAGTCGCATAAGTTCCAAAATTTATCTTATTGAATTCTGATTGATTGAAATTTGAGCCAACGAATTTCTGGATTGATTTAATACTGTTCAAGCAGCATAAACTCAAGCTGCAGAATAGTGACCGCCGCAGCCGCGCCAACGTGTTGCGAGCTTGCCACCAAAGGGTAGGACTCTATCTCTATACAAAACTTAGAGCCGGTTATCGCCGGGAAGCGGCGACGCGCGCCCACCGGCGACCTTAAACTGAGACTAATTTAGTCTTTTGACCAATTGAAAAGATTTGGGACTTATGCGACTGCTTTTTTATTTTCGAATTTATGGGACTGATTTTTCATTTTGGGACCTATGAATGAAGGGGTAGAAGGGGGGCTAATTGTAAAGTAGATCCAAAATTTCGAATTTATTTTTCGGCTATCCGGGGACGAATTTATCTCCCCCCCCCTTTGTGACCTACTGTAGAATTTCCTCCCAAAGCATGTATTATTTTTGAAAATTAATTCCGCATAAAACATTCATTTCAAGCATGTGCACTGAATATACTGCTGAAGATTTTTTTATACAGAATAGCTAACTCATCCTTTGGTACAACGTACAAGTATGATAGTTGGGTCCCAAAAACTAAGATGGGTTCCTGAAGAAAAATTTTTAGACCTTAAAAACTTCGAAAACATGTTTCGCATTTGTTCACTTGTGATTTTGAATTGCGGGACCCATCTTCCATACTTGCTTTCTCCTGGAACCCAACTATCATACTTGTACCTCCCTTTGTACTATTTTGAGATATCCATTTTTGGCTGACTGACCCTTAAATTTTTCTTAAGGCACCGTTGGCGTCAATATATACTAATTTTAAGAGGGAGCGCGCGCCAAAAAAAAACGCGATTTTTTGGTCAAAATTTTCCAAAAATTGCCCAAAAACATCTTTTTTTGGCCTGTTTTTTCAAAAAATTGTTTTTTCAAAAATACCGCGTAGGAAATGTGGTCAAAATGGTGTTTTTAAAGTGATAATTAGCAGAGCTCAGAAAATCAATTTAATCGACCTAAAAAAAGTTCGACAAATTTTGAAAATCCGTCCGCTACATTTTTTGAAAATCCGTTCCCCCTCCCCATCGAAAAAATCCTAGATCTGCCCCTGCTTGTACCTATCCTTTTAAGAGCGTGAAATATTAATCATAATTTGGTATCGATTGATTTTTTGCCCTCGGAGTAAATTGATGGCGGGGGGATTGTACGGTTGATCCGAAATGCAACATTTATGCACCATTTAGTTTTCAAATTATTACACAATTAGTGCAATTGACTACACGAGACTTGGTTGCAAAAAGTGGACAAGCGATTCAGTAGACACGTCATAAAGCAGACAATTAGTATATTAACCAATCGGAATCGAGAACAGGAAGCAAACTTAAGAAACATAATTTTACATATTTTACAATGATTAATTTCCTAAGTTTGCTTTCTGTTCTCGATTCTGATTGGTTAATATAGTAATTGTCTACTTTATGACGAGTTCGAATCGAAAAAAGGTTGTTCACTTTTTTACAGCACTCCACTGGACCTGTCTTGTCTATCATGGTTCGAACAATAAAATTCCCGCTCCTGGACTGAGTCAGTCCCAACATTACACAAACACCCACCCGGGTAAAAATCCCAAAGTTAACCATCGCTTAATCTGGGGCATCCCAGTGAACGCTATTTTTCATCACTGATTCATGTATATTCATACAGATCCGAAATGTTGGATCTACTTAATCTCCCCCTTATGGTATCCACTTAACAATCTCCTCTTATGATATCGACTTAACTATCTTATTAACAAAATTGGAATGATATCCCGAGCGCTGAATCCACTGGGAAAATTGCGCAGAATACGAATTAAACGACAATTAAAAACGCAATTTGGCTCATATTTATGAAATTTTGGTGCAGAAAACGGCAAAAAAAAAGAAAAACGAGGCAGCTTGAAACTTAATTACGTACGTTTACTGCTTCGCTGTGACAAGTCATATAGTACTTATCTTGCTTGTCTTAGTAATATTGATCCATTTTTGCTGTAGAAAAATTGGTTTTAATTTTTCACCATTTATGGCAATGATTGCGTAACTTTTGAAAATATTTTAAGTTTCCATTTCGAACTACAATAGAAAGGGTCAAGTTTCTAATGCTTTGGAATAAAACAAACCTACGAAGCTACAATTGGCGAAAACAATCGACAAAACACCAAGAAGTAGCTTTAAAACGGCGAAAAGAAAAGCAAGAAAACAAAAATAAACACAGATGCGAAGCGGAGCTTCGCACCACTAGCGTACAACACAAACAAAAAAGATTCGAAAAAAAATAATGTATAAAAAACTAGGTGAACATAAACTTTCGTATCTCTCGATGAAAAACAACTAGGGGCCCAGTTAAAGCTGAATGAGCGTGTTTGAAATTGAATGAATTTGCTATACTGATATGGCACGAAAAATGTGGTTCCAAAAAATTTGCCCAAAACCTTAGTTGATTGACAGTTTGAAAAAAGTACTGACTTCGTTGAAAAAATCTCAACTTTCATTTTTCAAAGAAAAAAATAGATGCCCTTTGAGCTATTTGAATTTCTAGAACAATTTATGATTAGCGCTTTTTTGATAACATTAACCCAACTTGAAAATACTGGATCAATAGGTTAAGTTTTTATTCCGCGCGAAATGTAAAACTTAAATACCACTTTCGAAACTAGAAATCGTTCATGTTTTTTCGCGCCATTTCCGTATTTACGTAACTTTCAGCAAATGAATTTCAACTGAACTCATAAAGTGCATACATACCTCAGTGCATTCATAAATGCATCTACATGTATGAATGCACATCTGTAGTTATTAGGTTATTTTAAGTTTTTTCCTGCAAAAAAAAACAGAAAAAATCAGCAAGACCTATATAAGAATCTTCACTACGTTAATTACTTTTATTAAATGCGAAGAGTAAAAAAATTTGAGAGAACAATTTTCCCAAGGAGATATCATTTCTCTTACAACAACAATAGGAGTCGCGGTTTCAAAACTTTGACTTGCTTTAAGGCTATTACTTTTTTCTTGAACAAACTGGGCATAGCCAAATATAAGGGTAGGCATTCAACAACCCGTTGTTTCGATTAAACATATGATATCAGATTTGACAGAATAGTTAGCGAGAAAAATCCAAAAAACGGTCAACAAATCAAAAATTTGACATTTCGGAGAATCATAGCTTTCTGTGTGAAAAAATAGGGAGTAGTCGTTTATGCAGAAGGGATTCACGCAACCTTTAATTTCGATTGAACCCAAAATGTCAGTTTTGGAAGGGTAGTTTTCGAGAGAAGTCAAAAACTTTAAAAAAACGGTAAAAATTTGGGCGTAGCTGCTTATGCAGGGAGCTTTATAAAAACGTTTTATTCTTGGAAACCAAAAAGTCAGATTTGAGAGGGCTACTTTTAAAGAAAACAAAAAAATCAAAAATTTGGGTCAAATACTCCCCAACAAACTGCAACGAAAAAATAAGAAATTTCAACAAACCGAGAGGTATACATAAAACCAAATTTGAAACGAGTGCGGAGTGGAATGTTAAAATTGTCTTTCCCTTGAAACGACCCAAAATTAGTTCATTAGGCCGATAAAAAAACGGGCCAAAAAAATTTGGGCCGAGGAACTTTTTTAGCGAAACAAAAAAAGGAAATACGAAGTCAAGGAAAGTAAAAGTACAAATTGTAGGAGTAAACCAAACACTGAAAGCAACATTACAGAAAAACGCGCGCAGCAAGAAAGAACACTTTTAATGAAGGTTCGTACTACACTATGCTTGGCAAGCTGGCGAGTGTAAAGACACAATGCATCATCTACCGTGCTTCCCGTTCTTGTACTGACCTGCAGCTGGCTGTCTTTGAGTTTTCCGTCCTGGTCGTGGAAGTTGACAGCCACTGTCTCCATCCACGCATTGTCTGTATTACGCGGATCATCCACATACCCTCTGTAGATCTAAGCCGAAAAAAAAACAAACTCTTAATTTTTGCGGCCAGAGACCACAAAACTTATAATAAATGAAAACATTGTTTAAGCTTTAATAATCATCAAAAGTTTTTTCTTCTATTGCATTACTGTTGATTACAAACTTTGATCGAACCAAAGAGAAAGACGTCTCTGATACCCATTATTCCTTTGGAAGGCTATCAGGTCTGTAGTAGCCGTTTAAATGCTTTTTATCAGCACAGAATCTATTTAGCCTAACATGGTGGCTTACTCTGAACACGTTGGTCACAAAACCTTATAAAATATATTCAGGCAAGGCAGTAGAGGTAGAATAGGATACTCGTTACAACAAGTCTAGGAGAGGAACTGTCTTTGGTTGAACATCGAAAACTTTAAATGGTAGGAGTGTAGGAATTTTAGAACGAATACTCAAACCTCTGTGAAGTGGAACCGGATTATCTACAAAACTGTGGCATCAGATCTCTGAATCTTAACATTGAGACTTAGGCCAAGGTTGATTTCAATAACTTTTGATATGAAAAAGATAAACAAATGAACGAAAATTGTAAAAACTCAACTCAAAAACTTAACGAAAAATATATAACATTTTCAGATATCATAGTAACAAACTTGAGATCCATGGTAATAAAAAAGTTTAAAAGCGCACTTAGGAACTTTGCTATGAAATAGCTCACTCCAGCTGCAACTCAAACCACTAAAAATAATAAAACCTTGAGCAAAACTAGTTTGTTAGACAGATAAAATGGATTGTTATTACGAAGAGAATGTTTGGCTGACCTCTCTGCCGTGTTTGAAGAAGAGGTCCTTGATCTTCTTCAGCCTCTGCTCCCTGTTCAGTTGGGAGAGGGAGGAAGAATGAGCCTGCTCTATCTTGAAGCTCACAGCTTCCTCCATGAACTCACGCAGCAGAGTCGCAGACACCTCCTCCCCAGGGTCCACCATACCCTAACACACAGAAAACACCACATTCCATTTAAAAATTATTGCATAACTTACACAACTGCAAACATTCAACGACAATCTAACATCCCTGGTGGCGAGTCCACGATCATAACTCATCGCGTAGTACAAAATTCTGATTTTTTCGTTTGACCGATTCAATTGCAACCGATCTACTGTATTGAGCGATTAGCTTTCAGAGAAGTACGGGTTTCAAGCGTATGGTCAACATGTCGGCTGTTACGAGTTATCGCTTCAGAACACGTTACCCTTCTACCGGGCTTCGAAAGTATGCTATACTCAACCATGAACAAGTCTCCAAATTCTATTTTAAGAAGGTAAAACCCAAAAAGACAATCAAGTCTATACGGAGTTGGTTACATCAAAAAACTTATATTAATTACTCAAATTAGTTTTATTCTAATCTCATCAATCACAGCCTTATTTTCATAAACATTCTGATTTTCTATCCGAATTTTGAAAACAGTCAGTAAAACCTTTGATCTCTTTATTACCCCTGGTATGGCGACTTCTCCAGTATCCTTTCTCGTGATGGCCACAAACTCCAACAAAGGCTTGCCCTTCTTCATTACTTGATTGCCATTCGGATCCAACTTCCACCTTAAGAAGAACCGAATTTGAAATTAATGTTAGCTAGCGCACAGATCTCAATGTGACCTTTAATATTGTACCACGCCTGTCATTGAATACGTCTGATTACCGGCCGACCAACCTCAGTTGTTTTCTTCGTGACTAGTTTTCTTAATGAAAATTTCAGTCGAAAACGTTTACCGGAACGTTTTGTTTTATCACATTCCATTGCAGGTATTGTTTACATTAGTTGGCAGCACTTAAAACTTTGATGGTTAAGGCTTAACTGTTTAATATTTGATAACTCTTCTTTCAAAACATTAAACCCTAACACCCCTTCCGGCCAGTCCATTCGATTAGTCTCTGTTAGCAGTGACCCGCTATAATTAAAGCAGTTTTCACCTGGTAACGATAGGGTCAGCTGCATGGTTGGGTCCCCATCTTCCCAGTAATCCCCTGCCTCTGAGGCCGGTGCGTCCTACTGGGTTGCGCGGCAACAAGTCATCCTTGCCAAGTGAGTAGAAGCCAGTGAAACTGCGTCTATCAACGTTCTTCAGTGTGTCCCACTTGTTCCATGGCACTAGTTTCTTCTGACTAGCACTGGAAAACATGAGATACAATCAGTCAATTGATTGCCAGCTCAGCTAGTTATGACTTTTTTTTGCAAATGTTAACACAGAAGCGAAGCGGAGCTTCGCACCACTTGCGATTCAGCTCAAATATAAAAAACATGACGAAAAAAATGAAAAAAGTTGAAAAAAACTAGGTCACCAAAAATTTTCGTATGTCTCGACAGAAGTTCATTTTAGACAATAATGCCAAACATTTGACACAGACTCACTCACTAACCACTCAACCACAGACGCTTAATAAATCCCATAAACTAGCGACCAAAAAAGTAGAGAACAGATGCTATGAAATTTCGAATGTAACATCGTGATTATAGCAGAAAAGCCTTCAAATAAGTGAATACGTTTTATAAACACTTTTAATTGCGAGCTAGGTTAGAAAAAAGAAGGTTCCTACTAATACAGTAAAGCTTGCTTGTGTAAATATCAAATTAGCAACGGAGCGAAACTTACGATGCGGAAACGAAGCCGGCAATCTTCGATCAGACACAAATTGAACGGAAAACGTAAATCTTTAAACTTTAAAGTCTCCTCGCAAAATAAAATGGATAACATTTGCAACTACAATGAAAGTTGCTTATAACACAAAAAAATCAGTGATGTGAAAACTAAGCTGACAACTTTTGAGCAGACATAAATTGAACCCAAAAAAAAACTTTTTAAATGAAATTAGAAAAAGCCCCCCCCCCTGAAACTAGTATGAAACAGACTTGCATTTGCAAGTGCAATGACAGTTGGTTACAGCACAAGCAAAAGACGCAATATGGCAATTTAGCCTACAAAACTTAGGCAGACAAATGAACGTCCGGCAATTCAATTTTTACCCAACAAAAATTCAAACTGAAAAAAAAACATTTTCCAGCCGAGATTCGAACCCCCAGATTTCAGGGTACTAAGGCGACGGCGTTTCCCTAGGCCAAGTGGGAAGGAACCTGGAAGATGTTAAGAGAAGCAGTGGATAAAAAAGAGAAAAAATTTGTAAGAAAATGGTTTACGGGAAAAAATCCGATTACAAGACACTGGTTTCCGATTACAAGACACTAGCACTCGCGAGTGTATAAAAGAAGATCGGAAACAAGATTTTAAAATACAAAACACATTGTCAAAGTTGAATCAATACAAAAAATTGACGCAAATAGAGAAAAAATCATTAGGTAAAAAAGAGGACAGAATCAAACCCGACACTTAACAAGCTGAAAAACAGCTGGAATATTTAAAAAACAACATACGAAAGATTTGCATCTACCGGATACAATAAAAGCCCTTTACATGCAAAACAAAAACGTTGCATATTTTTAAATGTATCATCTGAAACTTCTTTCTAAATATGTTACATTCGGCTAACTAAGTTATTTACTGAAAAAACCTAATAGTACCAGGTTGCAATACCCTTGCATATCGCAAGGGTAATCAAATGGGTAAGAAACAAGCTTCACAAAACTTTTTACACAGAGACCAAGCTGGGCTTCGCATACAATAGCGAGTAGAAATAATGATCGAAATTGTAAAAATTGGGCTGTGTATCGGATTCGATCCTGCGACCTAGATATTAAGAGTCTCATGCACTTACCAATCGTCTACGAACTCCTAATATTCCAGAAATACTAACTAGAAATAAAGCAGAGAACAGATGTTACGAAATTTCCAATGCTATAGATTTAAATTATAGCAAAAATACCACCAAATGAGCACTTTTATTCGCAAGTTAATCTGGAAAAAAGAAGGTTTAAACTAACACACTACGCTCGCGAGCTGGCTAATGTAAAGAAAGATCCAATATCCAAAAACAAAAAACCGACGTACAATTCTGGACTTGAGAAGTCTAGGTCAGCCCAGGCTGGTCCCTCAAGCACCAACGGGTGTGTATAGTTCGGCGGTTCATATTCGAACCAAACCTTCTCCCACGGAATCAGAGAACTCGGCACCTCCATGCGTCTCACTTCGTAGTAATCTGGTTTGAGGGCCTTCACATGTTTGGGCCCGACTGGTTTTTTCGGAGCCAGTTTGCTCTGATCTGTAGGTGGAACAGCGGCTGCTGTTACTGCTGCTGGCTGGACTGTCTTGACAGTGTCGGGACGTGCAGGATTTTGTGATTCTGATGCAAAAATAATAAAGTTATATGAAGAGTTAACTAAGTTAAAGTTTTTGAACTTCTACCAGTCAGTGATTAGCTTTTGAGAAGCTCAGCAACAAATCCTTCCCACATTAACTGTCTCAATAACTTTTAGCCGTTAAATTTCCTGGTAAATTGTCGAGCATTATTTGTTCCGACCACTGAAAGTCGACAAGAACTTTGCTTTCGGGTGTGTTTCAATCTTTTTAATCTACTTTTTACCACGCAAAAACAGATGCCATGAATATCTATCAGAGTTAGTCGAGTATTATATAAAATTATTGCCCTTTCTGTCGTGATTCAAATATTACAAAAATTTATAAAGTTTTCGCAGTCTAATTTCCAGCGAGTAAAGCGAGAGAGTAGGTGATATAATAAGGGAACTTTTTTCAGCCGTGAAAAATTTAGTTTTACTCCAGGAAAACATGTTATCGAAGCTTTGTTTAGCGCCTCATTGGCGACAAAAAGTTTTATTTCTAAAAACAACACAAATTTGAAGATGAGATTTTTTTTACTTTTCATTAATGCGGTTGCAACTTTCTGTGCTACTATCATAGCAACCGGCTACTCTTGTTCGAGTTTGTTGCTTTTGCATTTCACCTGATGAGGAGAAGAGTTCAGTGGATGGGGGAGGAGGTCTCTGTGGTCCACTTCTGCCCTTGCTCACACTATCTGCCACGAACTGCATCATCGAGTTCATGTACTCCAACTGCTTGCCAACTGTGTCCATCTTAAATAATTTTTCATATCATTACACCTTCATTGCTTTGAATTGATTCAAAAACGGCTCAACTATCCCAAAATCAGACTGATATTACAAGGTCGACCTTAAAATCAAGTTTTAAATCGTGCATCTTGTCATTTTTTTTAAATATCTGGTCCTTTTTATTCTTGGATCTCGGGTAAAGTTTCGAAAATTACACACAGGACAAGTTAACACAGGGGCGAAGCTGAGCTTCGCACCACTTGTGATTAAAAAAACAAGAAAGCCGCTAAATCGATCTATCGAAACTAATAAATCTAACTTTGAAACAAAAACGTGCCAAGACAAAACAATGTACAATTAGCATCGAAAGAAATTTTATCAAGCGGTAACAAAGCCACAAAAATACCTTAACCCAAACCCTTTGAGCCGAAAGAAAATTTAAACAAAATGTATTAAGTCCCCCTCACCCTCAAACACACTCACACGCAAACTTTATTCGCGCGTCAAATGAAACAATATGAGGCCACTAAGCCGATAAATATTGGCCGCAACCTACTAAGCCTCAGAAAGGAAAACAAAAGAAGCAAAAAACAAGCCGAAAAAAAAATAATAAGACTAAAAAATATTAAGTAACCTCAAAACCTTCAAAACACACAGCTCGTCCAACGACGTACTATGAGGCCAATCAGCAGATAAAGTATACTTTACAGAAAAACATCACAAATAGCATCACAGAAACTTTTACTGCCCCACTTGTCCGAACAATAATACCTGCCCATCCCAGTAAACGATACGCCTAAAAGGCCAAAAAACACTTAGACTACTAACCTTTAAGCCCGAGAAACAAAGCCCCCAAACGATCCAAACACAAACCCGCAAAACCATACAGCGCATACTACTTCTACTATTCCCCAGCCTACTATTCCCCAGCCTACTAAACCATGATTTGAGGAAAAAAGAAGAAATATCCTGCCTCCGGACGTTTACTCACCAGACGTCGTCCAACAAATTCTGGAAAGCGGTTCGCTCCTTAAATGAAACCAAATCCATTGCAGGATCGCACTCAACCTCTTTTAACGGCAAAAAGAAGCTAAACAAACAGCATGCGCTTTTAACACCCAATACACGAAACTCAGAACCCATACATCTAACAAACAACAGACAAACAAAAAAAACTGATTCTAAAGCTTAGCGATCCACTGACTTTTCTCTCCTGTGAAACAGAAGAGTCAATCAAAGCAGCTAAATCTTCAAAAGCGTTGGGCCCAGACGGGCTTTGCACGGTACACCTGAAACATTTGGGACCAGCTTTTATCAATTTTGTAACATTTACTTTTAATTTGACCTTTAAATTTAACAAATTACTTCAATTATGAAAGAACTCAGTAAGAGTCCCCCTACCAAAACCAACCAAAAACTATCGGATTCTTGTCGCTAAGTCTCGAGAATTCATCCTACTCTTATAAAGAATCTCCCTAAAACTGACCATCAGCACGGCTCTCGTCCACTCCACTTTTACAGCACAATCAAGTTTTGAAATTTAATTAGCAACGTTTTTAATCAAAAACGCCCACCTAAAAAAACTGTGCTAGCCACCTTAGATCCAAAGCAATTGACATGGTCTGCCATCGCACATAACTTATTCATAGCACCACTGTACCAAATAATTTAACTAAATGGCTTGCAAATTATCACAGCGGCAGGCAAACTAAATCGCAGTTTAGGGGAGCCTTGTCTTCATCCCGGATCGTACATACAGGCGTCCCCCAAGGTTCTATCCTCTCGCACACTCTTTTTAAATTTTTACGTGCATGATGCATCCAACTCCCCTCCAGAAGTCAAACGTCAGTCTTGTGCCGATGATTTTCACCCTTTCCTCCAACACGCGACATAAAAAATGGCCCTGACACTTCAAGTAATTATCCTAATCCACTGCACGAGTTTTTTTACAAGTAGATTGCTTGACTTTTCATCTACAAAGGTCTATGTAGGTCGCATAATAAAAAGTTTGACAGACCCCACGTTTACAAAGTGTGAAACACTTCTGCCGGTCATAAAGCATCCCAAAATTCTTGGTGTCTTTTTGACCCTTGATTAAATTTTGCGGAACATTGCAAACGCATAGTTATCAAAGTCATGCGCAGTCTAGTTCAAACTGGGGTCAGTCGAAAGACACTTCAAATATTACTAACAAAATTTTAATCAGACTAATCCTGGACCTCGCCTGTCCAGCTTGGTCTGACGCCGCGAGTGATACAACCATAAGTTAAATACGAATAGTACAAAACGCAGCTCTGCGGATAGTGACGGGGTGTCCAATTGGCTGTGAAGGGAGTCCTATTGACCACGTGCATACAGAGTGCAAACTACTTAACGTCAAAAATCACCATAAACTCTTTGCCCCACAATTCGTCCTCAGGACCTACCTGCCAAAAAGCTCCCTCAACTTTTACGATACTCACCCTGTAACGCCACGCCAGCAACATCTAAAACTCTTATAAAGCAGACCTTGAACAATTTTTTACTAGAACCACCTAAAAGCGTTCATCAACAGCAATTTTAAAAGATTTATAAAGAATATACACACAAAACGAGCGCTGAAAGCCATAGATAAAGCCCCCTGCCCAAAGATCTCCCCTTAAAACCCCCCCAGAAATAAAAACTGTACAGACCAGTCCACGCTCGACTAGGCGCACCCTCGTCCAAATAAGACCAGGATACAGCCCCTACTTTAATACTTATACGAATAGGATAGACCCAAATGTCCCTTCTGCCCTGCTCCCCACACTGCATTACACTTATTTAACTGCCCCCAAAACAACAAACCTGACCACAATAGACTTACGGCTTCGTCGACGGCTAATAACGGGCTAATAACAACAACAACAACAACAACAACAAACTAGAAGTCCATCACGTTTTTCGTGACCTGTACACTTTTGCTGTTTGATAGTGGAGTTTGTCTTCCTTTTAATAAAGGAAATGAACTGAACTTAAAAAGAAAGCAGAATTCTTACTGCAAAAAAGAAATTTGAGCCTAAACAAATTCAAGAATTTTCCAGAAAAAAACCGGAAAAAACCATCGCGACCTATATGAGAGTCTGAACTACGTTGATTGACTCTTATAAAGGAAGTAGTGTGGCTGTGGGAGACTTGAGATAGATTAATCTTCCAACGCACCTTCGACTCCAATGTGGACACCCTTTCAGATAGACTGGTGCTGTCGTCCTCGTTCATGGGGTCCACCAGACTGGCCAAGATCTTCTCAGTATTACTCTCTGCATGTCTCACATGGTACTCCAGCTTCTCCCGCTCTCCTCTGTCCAACTCTCTAGAACAAGACAGAACAATTATATCCGTTGAATATTAGACACACAAAAAACGATCATTAAAAATCTGAAAAATGGTTTGTTAATGCTAAAATAACCAACCTAACAACCTTAAAATAGCAAACATGTGCTCGAAATCATCTGAATTACGAATCTTCGCAAAAAAAGAACTAAGTAGGAACGAAAGGAACTTTCAAGTCAATAGAAACAAACTATCGCTATTGCTACAAATAACTGTGTGATATAATTTTTTTTAAAATTGGAGATGCCGCATGAGCCATAAAAAGGATGCAACTCACTTTAATCGATGTTATTCAAACAATGTACTTTATTCTGGTTTCACCTTATGTACTCTTCGGCGTTAAGATCCTCCCACTTGATGAGTTGCTGGATGATGGGGGATTCCTGGATGCGCATTTTGAAGTTGTAGTTCGGCATCTTCACCTTCGCGGTACACTTGCTCAGGATGATTTTACTGAAGAAGTAGACATGTTGGATCAGGATCAGCGGAGGAGGAAGGGCAGGTCGCTGGAAGTATTCCTGAAGAAAGGAGATTTGAATGAGCGACTTTAAAAACTTAGTTCAAATAAATTCACTCTTTGCATGCAAAAAAACTCAGAGCACTGGATAATCAAAAAATTTGGCCAACATGGGGTGTTTACATTGGCTTGAAATATTTTAAAAATCCGCCCTCCTCGAGAAAATCTTGGATCCGCCGCTGATAGTAATTACAATTTTTAATCTGAAAAGTTTCTGACTCAACATATTTCGCGAGATTTGTGAAATTAATCATTTATACACATTTATTTTTTCAATATTATTACATGACAAATGCAGGAGGGAGCTGCCTGTCATAGTTGCTTTTCGAGGGACCACTCTGTCATAGTAGTAGCTAAGACTTTTTCCGAAAAAAATCATCAAGACCTATATAAGAGTCTGAACTACCTTCATCGACTCCTAAAAATTGACGGAAGCATACCTTGATCAGCTCGTAGAGATGAAACTTCCAAAAAAGATCCGTCTTTTCCTGAACTTGCTCGAACGTATAACTAAACAAAAATAATCTTTATCACACGGAAAATGAAATTAAATTTTAATAGTTGAATTACATAAACAATTTTAATAGTTGAATTAGATAATTAAAGTTACAGCAGTTTTAACTTGGAAAAAAACTGCCGGTACAAGTGTGATGAAGGGGTCCCGATAAAAACCAAGGATGAGAAAGGGGTCCCAAATTACATTAATTTCAGGCAATTACCGCAATTAGCTACAAAGGCGAAGCTGCGCAAGCAAAAGCGAGGAAAATGCATCAAAAAGATCTAAACAGGCAAAACAAAGTGCAATAAGGAAAAAACTTAAAAAGCACCTTGAGAAAAAAATTTAAGCAAGATTAAGAGTATCCCATTTTCAAATCTGCTCCAAGATCACTTGTAATTTTACTAACATAAGCCACCAATAATGCAGCTACAGTTTCTATCAAATTTCCAATGCTACGCAGCAAAAATTCGACCAAAAAATTCAAACTATCCCAATGTTCCCGATTTGAATATCCGACCTGTAAATAGGAGTCTCTTTTCTTTGTATTTGCGCCACGGTCAGTCGCTTGGAGGTATACTAGTGGCCCAGCTAATGCTGGATCACCTGTTTTAATGTTTTCAGTCCTATTTTGTACTTATACGGAAATGCGTAATTTTCAAAAAATGAACTTTACGCAAAATACTAGCAATTTCTCTGGATAGGTAGGGATTAGCCGCCTAATTAAAGGAGGAAAAACTACACGCTCTTTCAATTGATCTTTTAGCTCAGATTTGGCTGGATTGTTTTCGAAAAAAGTGAAAAATTTTCAAAAAATCAAAAAAAAACTTTTTGTAAATCCATAAACTTGTCTCGATTAAAACATGGGAATAGCCTTTTATGCAGGGAGGAAGTCCACTTCCTGAACTTTAGATAGAACCCTTGATATCAGATTTTAACTAGTAGTTTTCGAGAATAAGGATAAAATTTCTAAAAAAAACGGTACGAATTTCAACAATGGATTTTTCCGAAAGGAAAACCTAAGCACCATGTTAATTTGAATGAATTATCAACCTCAGAATCAGCAGTTAGAAAAAAAAGAAATTTGCAAAAAAATGACAAAAATTGAAAAATTGGACATTGTCCAGGCCATATTTTTTTTCAAAACGCAGGGCAAAGCAAAGCTACTTGCGCAGGAAAGATTCACCCAACTGATTGTTTTTCTTTTGATTAAACCCTTAATCTCCGTTTGGGCACGGTAGTTTTTGAGAAAAGTCAAAAAGTTTCTAAATTCAACAAAATGTCAAAATAACAAAATAGGATTGTTTGAGGCCATAGCTTTTTCAAACGAATTTAGGGAGCAGTCGCTTAAAAAAAGGAATATCCCCATAGTTTTTTCTTTTGATTGAAACCCTCATCTCAGATTTGAGTTTTTAATATATGAGAAATAGAAAAAAATTAAAAATAGGTCAAATATCTATTGAAAATTTCTAAGGCCGTAGAATGTGGGTAAAATGAAAATTGGGACAATTTTTTTGAAAATTGGGACAATAGTTTTTTGAGAAAAATTGAAATTTCTGCGAAAAGTACAAACAATTTCCAAAGCGTCGCAAAAAACAACAAAACCCATACACTTTCATTATAACTCTTTTTTCTGTTTTTTTTTCAAACAGGACCTAACACTAGCCAAAAGTAAAGCAGCAACGTATGCTTTTAATTTGCTTAGGGACCCGGTTAGTTTCTTGGGTCCCCTCTATCACACTTGTACCGAAATGCCAATTTATGTGGTACTAACGTGAACATTGCAATTAGGAGATTGAGCAGCACGATGTTAGTGAAGAAAAGATAGAGAACTAAGAGGAAGGACGTCACTCTGTCCACATGCTCCGGTGACTCGCAGTACAGGGTACTGGCGGGTCTGGAGGACAAGGTCCCATTGTATGTCTGACACCTCTCCTCGTCGCCTATCTTGTCAGTGTCTGTTAAAGAAAAAAGAAAACAAATCGCATTAGTTAGGCCAAGGAGAAGGCTAATTCGCAATTATTTTGTATTAAATACATACAAAGTAAAGCATCATCAGTTATTGTTAGAAACAGTCCAAGTCTTTCATTACTTTGAAATCAGTCTATTTATTGTTTCATTTGGTTGCGTTTTCTTTGTTTCAGAGAGTTCTGAAAAGTGTTAGAGCCGTATAACCGAGTTCTGCTATGGTGTCAGATAGAGGGCGTAGAGTGTGAGAACGATTAGTTAGAAAGAGTTGAGTGGAGATAGATTCGAACCTGAACATGGCGATGAGCATGTTCAACAGGAGAATATTTGTGAACAACATGTAGAGCATCTGTAGCACTAGCGCTACTTCTCTGTTCTCAGGGCAACTATCGCCCCTCATGCCCTGATACGTGGCGTTAGAGCATGTTTCTCCGACTGACAAAGAAACGATAAACTAATCAAACGGTTTTTGGTGATCATATATTATTAGCCGGTGGGAAAAGATTCAATGAATGCAAGTTAACAGAAAAAATGATGAAATTCGAAGAAAAAAGATAGCCTTAAAGAAAATAGATGGCCTTAAAGCTTTTTGAATTTCTTGAACAAAATATGACTAACACTTTTTCGATAAAATTAACTCAATTTTATTCCGCGGAGAAATCTGAAAACTAAATTCCGCTTTCGAAACTAGAAGTCTATCACGTTTTCGGTGACCTTTCAATTTTAGCTGTTCGATAGTGGAGTTTGCCTTCCTTTTAACAAAGGAAATGAACTGACTCAAAAAAAAAGTCAAAATTCAAACCACCAAAAAGATCATTTGAACGTGAACAAATTTTAAAAGACTTTTCCTGAAAAAACCATCGCGACCTGTATAAGAATCTGAACTAAATACATCGAATCGTAAAAACATTGCCAACAGACAGTTGGAAAAGTGCCAATTAATGCACGGAAACAAAATGTATATATATACTGACTAGTTTTTGAAAAAATATCAACTTTCGAATTTCAAGATCAAGATCGATTGACACTATAAATAAAGTAATTTTTTCAAAACATGGAAAAATTTTCTTTTATTTCTAAAGAAAACCTTAAAATTTAAATCCACATTCGTTTTTCGTGACCTTGACACTTTTGCTGTTCGACTAAGGCGTTTGCCTTCCTTTCACAAAACCGTAGAGTCAAACTGTGAAAAAAATGGAGAACAAATTTACTGAATTTTTCTTAAAAACACCATCACGTCTTAAACAAATGTTATCACTACGTTAATTGACACATACACATTCATTTGGACCTATTTAAACTAAAACTGAGAACAAAACAAAATTTTTAAAATTATAATTTGTTCAACATTTTTGTTATTTAGCTAGATGTTTAACAAAAAAAATCAAAAGTCAATAAAAAGTTTCATTTCATGCAAAGCAGGCCTCGATAGATGTCAAAAAAAGAAAACAAGTACAGCTCTAACTTGCACTTACTTCCTATCTCTTCTAGGAAGAGCTCTCCGAACATCTGCCAGTAAGGGTAGTAGAAAATACCCTGGATGATCTTTTTCCAGCTGGTCTCATTCGGAAACATGATGGCCTGCAGAGCCACTCCATAACTGACCAGGAACACAAATAGGATGAAAAGGAAAAAGGCCAGGTCTTGAATCTAAACATAAAAAGATAGGATCTCATAGGACTACCCACATTTAGAAGATTCTAAAACCATATTTAACACAGACGAACGCAAAGAGCGGACGCATTTTAACAAATATAAGAAAAGTTCATTAAAAACATCCGACCTTGCCCAGGTTCCAACCCTCTTATTTTGCTGCGGGTCTCCTTCCCTACCTATACGCTACAGATCCAAGATATCTTGAAGCAAAAGTGATATTTGTAAGATAAACTGTGTTAATATCCTTAGCATTGGCTGTACTTAATAGACGTCGAAAATAAACACATTTTGTCGCAACAATATTTGCGACTTAGGTTGGAAAAAAAATAGTTCATACTATAACACAAGCTTTGCTTGTGTTAAAATAACTGTTCAACTTAATATCTATCCGCTCAAATTCAAGTAACAGGCAGCAAAAAATTGAATCATATAGCACAATTGATCAAAACGCCTGACTGTTAAAAAACTCAATTTAAGCTTATGAAACACATTTAAACATACACACCATTTTAGCAATCATGATGACTTTAGGTCCGAGTTGTTTCGACACCGAACACGTGTGAGTCAGTCGGATATAGTAAATTACCAAACTGAACACGTAAGAAGTGTGAGCCCACTCGATCAGCAGCCTCCTCGTATCCGCGTCCTCTTCACCTTCTCCCTCCAAGAAGCGGAATGCCACCACTCTTAGAATGAGTCCGACCAAGAACAAGCTGAGGCCTCCGAGATCTAGCAGGTTCCAGAAACTGGTCACATAGCTCAAAAGTTTTTTCGACATGCGCTCAGATTCTTCAATCAGAAGCTAAAAAAAAAACAATTTTCAAAGTCAGATTTTTTGCTTCACAAATAAATTTAAATCTCCGGATTTTGACCTAAGAGATTTCTTATCAAGCAAGCCGCTAAAAAAGCATCACAGTATCTCATGTTTATGTTCATAGCTTGATCCGTTCCAACGAAATTGAAAAACTTCAAAGCAGCCTTTCTAAAATCAGAACTGATCTTTCACATATCCATTTACATAGCTTCAATGATTTCATCGAAATTTTAATTTCACAGTAAAATAATTTTGAATGAGGTAAGATCATTGAAACTAAAAAAGGAACTTTGTACTACCGTACTTCGTACTATTGTATATTTCCATAAATTCCTTTACGTTTTTTTTGCTAACAGCCTATTTTGTCAAGCATCTTGTCAATATTCGATCGTATAATAACTTGAATACTTTGGTCAAAAATTTTGCAAGCAAGCCATTTATGCAATGAAACTCAAAAATACTTTAAATTGTGCTGATAGCTTCAATTGCATCACCGCAAAATTCAAAGGTCGAAAAGATGAAGATTTTTAAAAAAAATGACGCTAGAAGATTGTTATATTGCAAAAGCTAGGCACAAAAAAATGTCAAAAAGGACTAATACCGGTAAGGTACATGCCAAAATTATTATTCAGACTTGAGATCTTTCATTAAACAATCATTTCTTTTCTTAAATTTAGATACTTAAAATTCCATGACATGTCTTCAGTAGTTAGGGACAATCAGCATCCTGTAAGTTAAATTCAGGTTAATTTTTGGTGCAAAACAGGGTGATCTCGATTAATCAATTAGTGCACTCGAAAATCAACTTCGAGGTACGGTTGATTCCCTCATTAACAATATAGATATTAGCGACGCTTGTTTATAGATATTTAGCGAAATTTAAATTAACTTGTGTGCCGTGAAATTAGGAAATTCTCGAAATTAGACGACATGTTCAAGTTGCCATATCGCAAATCGGTTTGAAAAAAATACATTTTAGAAACCGAATCGTTTAGCCAAAGGTTAGATTTTTCTAAGCTCGCTAATCAAGCTACGAAACTTTGAAATACTTCAATTTATTTCATAGAGCGAATCTGATGCCAAAAAAATCCGTTCGTTTAAAGTTAATTTTTCTTAAACAAGCTATGAAACTTTGGAATATTTCAAATTAAATTATAGACCAAATCAGTTCGCGAAAAGTTCACGTTTTTTCTATAGAATATATTCAAGACATGCAAGGTTAAAATAAGTCTCAAGTTACTTCAGGAAGCAATCGGATGGCAAAAAAAGAAAGATTTTCTTTAGAAGCCATTCAAGCGATGATATTGTTAAATGTTTCAAGTATTTTCAAGGAGAAAATTGGTTCGCAAAAATTCAAGTTTCTGTCAAGCAGCTATTCACGCTGAGGAACTTTAGTATTTCAAATTAATTCATGAAGCGAGTCGGTTGGCGATAAAATTAAATTTCCTATTGAGGCTATTTATAGACTAAATCGGTTCACGAAAAGTTCAAAATTATTCAAACAACCTATTCTAGGTATGCAACTTTGAAATGAGTAAAAAATTTTCATAAAGCAATCAAATGGCAAAAAAAATAATAGATTTTCGATTGAAGCCATTCAAGTGATGAAAGTTTGAAATATTTTAAGTTGTTTCATAGAGCAAATCGGTTGGCGAAAAGTTGAAAATATTTCGAGCTTGCTACTCAATCGACGAACTTTTGAGATGTTCCAATTATTTTCGTGGAGCGAATTGGTACGCAGAAATTTTTCTCAGTCAGCTATTCTAGCTAAAAAAAATTAATATTGCAAGTTATTTCATAAAGGAAATCGGTCCGCAAAAAAATGCAAATTTGTCTGAAGCAAGATCTTCAAGCTAATAAATTTTGAAAAAACTCGAAATATTTCAGACCGAATAGGTACGCAAAAAGTTTGATTTTTATAAGCAAGCTAGGAAACTTTGATATATTTGAAGTTTTGTATGGAGCGAATCGGATGCGGAAAACTTCAAGCTTTTATAAAACAATCTACTCAAGTTTGAAAAGTTTCAAGTTGTTTTACACCAAGTCGGTTCGCGAAACTTTCAAGCTTTTCTAAGAAAGCTACGAATTTTTGCAAAATTTTATTTTTCATTCATGAAGAGAATCGGCTGGCAAAATTTTTCTATTGCAGCCATTCAAGCCATAAAGCGTTGAAACATTGCAAGATGGTTCTTACACCTTATCGTTTTGCGAAAAGTTTGGTTTTTCTATGCAAGCTATTCAAGCAGAAAAAACTTAAGAAATATTTCAAGTATTTTTCACAGAGCGAATCAGTTCGCGAAACGTTTCAGTCATTCTTGGCCATCTATTAACTGATAAAAACTTGAAATAAGTGAAATTATTTCATAAAGCAAATTAGTTCACAAAAAATTCAAGTTTTTCATTCAAGCTATTCAAGCGATTAAACATTGACACATTTTAGGTTATTTGATGAAGCGAATTGAATGGCAAACTTAATTTTTTCGATTGAAGTCATTCAACTGAGGAAACTTTGAGATACTTCAAGTTGTTTCATAGACCGAATGCTTTTGCAAAAACTTTAAATGTTCCTATACAAGCTGTTCAAGCGATGAAGTTTTCAAAAAGTTCAAGTTCTTTCATAGAGCGAATCGTTTTGCGAAAAAGAGGTTTTTTTTGCAAGCTACTCAATCAATACCTTTTTGAAATATCTCAAATTGTTTCATAGCGCTAATCGATTTTTCCAAAAATGAGTTTTCCTAAGCATGGTAGTCGCTGTTTTCAGTTGATCCTGAAAATTTTCGACTATCAAGCCTTGAAGTTGAGTCAAGTTCATCTTGTTTAAATAGTTTGGGAATTTTTTCAAAAAGAATTTAGAAAGTTCCAGCCTAAGAATGCTTAAAAAAATCTGAAGCGTCAATTCGATATTGACTGAATTGACAGAAAATTTTTTAAACGCTGAGCTCAATGATCACTCTTAACCATTGCGCCTTATGGCAGCTAAAACATGGCATAAACTTTTCTGTAATTCAGTTAATATATGGGATTAGTAAAACGTTTGCCATGTTTCGCATTCGAACCTGCAACCACGAAATTAGACATCTCACGTTCTCGCATCTGCGCCACGGTCCAGTGAAAACTAGAGAACATTAGCCACCAATGACGCAGCTCTAGATGCTCATAAATTGCCAATTCTATGCAGTAAAAAAAGCCAACAAATATGAAGAAAACTAGCGCAAAGTGCCTCGTTAAACCTCCGTACCTCTGAACCACAGAAGCTTGACTAACGGCAAACACTAGCCACAAATAAAGCAGAGATATGAAATTTCCAATGATACAGATCGTGATTATAGCAAATGTGCCATTAAATAAGAATTTTTAAATGCCAGTTAGATAGAAAAAAAGTAGAGCCATACTAACACACTACGCTTGCAAGTTTAAATATATAAGCCAAACTGAATTGGATGAGAAAATGACTGACTTGTCTGAACTCTTCAAGAGCGAAGCTGAAAACCCAAATGCAGATTAGTGACTCGTATCCGTTGATTTCTCCGAGGGGGTATTGATTGAGGACAAACACGGAGAACAGAGCCAGGAATATCAAGTAGGACCCCTGAAACAATATATTCAAGCAATTATCAAAAGTTATTTTTCAAGCTCCAAAAAAAAGAAAATTTAATAAAAAAAGACTTGTGGTTCTTTTCTACGCATTGAAGATTTGATACCCCAAAAGCATAACTAAAATCTGAGACTCAAAAGGCATAATCAAAACCAGGTAACAGCTAATCAGTTAACTTAGGATTATATGTACAAGACCTCTTTCAAGTCCAATACAATCAATCGAAGTCCAACACTTATGCAGACAGAGGTGATGAACTTACGAAATTGAGCGAGAACTTTGTGATTGGTGCATTGTAGAACTTGATAATCCTCTCCAACTTAGTCAACCTTGTTCCGGTCTTTCCTATTATCAAATTGGAGTCATCTCCGAACATCATAGTACTAGTAGCAATCTGCTTTGTACTCTGTTTCTTGGCCACGGATGGAACTGTGCTCCGGCGGCTGAGTGTCTTTCCATCTGCCCCGCCCACTCCTCTTTGTCTCTCCTCGGGACTGGTGTCGTTTGTGAAGTAGATTGAAGTCAGAATGAGAGGAGGAAAGAAGAGAGCAAAGATGAACTGAAATAAAAATAAAATTCATACTTTTGAGCATTTTAGACAGAGAAAATTTCTAGCACCATTTGTTCAAAGAAGATTCTCAAAACTTGTTATTTCGATTAAACACTCAACTTCGGACTTGGCAAAAGGCGTAGCCGGGCGGATTTTCAAGGCAGTTATTGATAAAATAAAAATAATTCAAAAAAATGATCAAAAATTCCCCTCATATGGAATTTTCGGAGGCCGTAGAACTTCGAGTGAAGAAAAAACAGACTAGCGGAATATTCAAGCACATAGGGAATTAGCCGATCTTTCCATTGGTAATACTTTTTGACACAGAGCTGCGCTTCGCAAACATTAGCCACAACAAGACAAAAAGCAGCTCTATAAAGTGACATAAGAAAGTAGAAATAAGGCTCGAATAAAAATTCCGCTAGGTGTCGGATTCAATTCTGCACCCGAGAGATTAGAAGTCTCACGTTCTAACCACTCAGCCACGGACACTTAACAATTCACAAATGCTAGCCACAAATACAGCAGAAAGGAGATGCTGTGAAACTTCCAATGTTACAGATTGTGATAATAGCAAAAATGTCACCAAATGAGCACTTTAATTTGCGGGTTAGGTTAGAAAAAAGAATGTTCGTACTAATACACTACACTTGCACGCTGGCTAGTGTAAAAAATGGTAAAGTAGTTCTCGAGAAACATTAAACTTTTTGCGAAAAGAGAAAAAAACTTCCAAAACGTCTCCATAAACCAAATCCTATACATTTTCATAATAACTGTTTTTATCAAACAGGAACCAGCCACCTATAGACCTGATATAAAGATAAACCACTAACACGCCAAAAACACGCCAGACATAATTCGAATGCAGCAAAAGATACTTCTAATGGGGGAGGGTTCTCATGCTTGAAGGACCGAATGCTTGAAAAATTTCATCCAATCAAAATTGCTAAGCGTTTCTATTGGTTAAATGCCTTTCTCACAAAATCGAAGTCAATATTAACAGAAAATGTATTAAATCAATGGAAAATAATCAAAAATATTACAAATTGCGGGTTACAACTGCAATACTATTCAGATAATCATCAAGATTAATGAGGTCAAAATCATAAGAATTTTTCAGTCTTGAAAACTCGTCTGCTTATTATCTAATCGGTCAATATTAACACTTATGGCCTGGATTTATTTTCTTAATTTAAGATTTTCGCGATTTACTTTGAGATTTTGAATACTCAATTCTGATTGGCTGAAAGTAAGCTAAAATTAATTTCAAGCATTCGGCCCTTCAAGCATGAGGGACGCCACCCTTCTAATGCAGCAAAAGAAAATCATATATATTTCTATTGGTGGTAAAGTGACGCCAAACAAATGATCACATTGGAAAGTTGGAAAAAAGTTCGTAATATGACATTACGCTGTGCATGTCTGATCAAAAAAGCACTTGACATATTTTGGAAAAATTATTATGCTAAAACTAAATTTTCAGACGCAAATTAGGTCTCAAGGTTGTCTGAAACATCGAAATTGCATGCAACTCTTTCAAATTAGAAAAATTGCTCTTTTATAATTACTTCTGACTGCCAGACCTTTTGATAAAACTAACTGTTTTCATAGAATTGTATGGTTGCATCCTGCCCATCCAGATAGAATTCAGCAGACCCTGACAACCGGTTTGAGCAATGAACCGCTTGCTGTCTGCCACCACTGCCAAATCGATACAAGTCAGCTTCCCAAAAGAGGGCTGCTCCCTGATTAGAATCTTCTGGGTCTGGTCGTCGTTGTCTTCCTGGCACTGATTCAGGATTCCGATGGCCAGTGCTTCGTATTCGCTGAAAAATCATACTAAGATTTCAAACGAATTTAGAGCAGCATGCAGCCTAAGCAACAAGGCATTAGTGCACTTTTGAACATTCCATTCTATTCCCAAAAACGCGTTATTCAACTCAGTTAAGCGGTTAGAGTCACAAATTGACCAATAGTTATGCAAAACATGGTACCAAAAGAGCATTTTTGCTGAATATTTTATTTCAAAAAATTGCCTATCCGCTGTTATATTACCTAAATCATTTCACTGCAAGACAACCAATCACAATGTAGTATTCGCTAATGAATTGGTCTTTTTTGATAACGAAAGAGTAGTTGTTTTGTTTGGTGCGATGAGGAGTACACTTACTCCGCACATGCTGTGAGTCTATCTTGTTGGTCGACGTCATTCATCAGAAGAGGGTGGGATGCCATGCGTCTAAGGATGATACTGGCAAAGAGACCGGCTGCGATCTGTTCCGTTCCTTCTTCCCAAAAGAAGCGCATCATGTCATATTTCATGAGGAGCACCGAGTACAGGAACAGTTCACGAGTCGCATTAAGAAACTCTGAAACCAGAAATTAATCTCATGCATTAACTGCATTTGAAACCAAACACCAATTGAAACGCGATTTTGATCTCACTACTAAGCTTAGAAGGATTTATCCCTTTTTTGATATTCAAGTGAAGAAGAGAACACTCAATTCGAAAGCCAAAACGCAAAAAAATACCTCAGAGCAAAAAGAACAGCCATAAAGTGACACAATTCGAAACAAAACAAGGGTAGCCGGCTATCAAAACTTTTTTAAAAAAAAAAACTATAAAACAAAATATATATTTTTTTCATATTCAGTCGTAATTCGTTCGTGGTGTGATGAGAGGATCTGAACAAAAGTCTAGCACTTAGGCATACTCGATAGTAAAAGAAACTTAGGTAATTTCGACAATACGTTTCCTAGAAAAAATTTTTACTGAGAAACAATTTAACTTTTTTGGCTTAACGTGAATTATCAGCTAATTTTTATATAAGCCTATTATAAGCATGCTCGCTCGCTTTACTTGCTCGAAATAGAACTAAGAATAAAAAATTCAAACTGAATTTTTTTGACAGAAAATTTTTTGCAAAATATTTGATGTAGTTCGAACCACGACACAAGGCTTCAAAATGATTCTGACCCATTCCAATAATAGTTTGTGGTACTTCGTTAGATCGATTGTTTGATCTCCTGCCACGGCAATGATAGTGTGCGAGGACGAGCTCTCACGTGACCTCTAGCTTCAGGTCTACCTCAAACTGACGAACTTCGGCTACGATAGTGGTACCACGTAAAAATCTAGACGCAAGCAATGACTCAAATCTCAAAAAAGCTTCGCTCAACAAAATAATTCATTCTGGAATGTGAGGAATTGATAAAAACGGAGTAACTTTAGACAGACTGGATAGCCTTTCATAGCTCCTATGCGAATAGCAGAAATCACATTCAATTTTACACAGAGGCAAAGCTTCGTTTCGCAAACACTAGGGAGAACGCGACAAAAGCAGCTTTATAAAGTGCAATAATAAAAAGTAGAAATAAGCCTCGAATTAGCAAAAAATCGGCTATGTCTGAGATTCGAACCTGCGAACTTGAAATTAAGAGTCACACCCACAAACCACTCAGCCACGGAAACTTATTTGTTGATTAAAGATAAAACATTGAACACTAACCACAAATAAAGCAGAGAGCAGATGCTATGCAACTTCCAATGCTACAGTGAAAGCTCCAACTAAGTGAAAGCAATAATAAACAATTTTATTTGCGAGTTAGGTTAGGAAAAAAAGAAGGCTCGAAATAAGACACTAAGCTGACGCTAGTGTAATACCTTGTTTTTAATTGAAAATTGTGAATAACAAATGCACCCGAAGACAAAAACCTTCCATACTTTCAAAAGGTAGCAACAATGAAATCCGTGCGCACCATATTCTGTGCTCGTTGCTTGAGGCTGAGGCAGCATTACCCAGCCGAAAAAAAAATAAACTAAAAACTAGCATGTAAACCTTAACCAAAGGCACAATATCGGTTCACGAAGAGCTGAACAGCTGGATTGCTGGTCTTTTCTATTGTCGATGAAAGAATGATCTAAAAAATGAACAATGAAACCGCAAAAAAAAACTAAGAAAAAAGTGCAAAACCGGAAAAAAAATCACTTCAATCTTAAATAATTAAACAAGGTTAGCCATTGCTGCGCCACTATCATAGTGTTCCAAACGCAGTCCTTTTAAAAAAAACAAGGGTAGCCGATTGCTGTGCAAGTAGCAGAGAATGTTCTGACCATATTCATACAAAACTACAAAAAACGTCTTCAAATTACTACTTCATAGTTTTTCAGATTATAGTTTCATGTGCCTGGTGTGATGAGAGAACTATACACACGCATTATAGGTTAAAAAAAGAAGGCATTATCAAGAACAGTCATCTCCAAAAGAAAAAAAAAGAAACAAAAAACAAAAGAAAAAACGCCAAATAAATCTCACATGTTTCCTTTTGTTAGCAAAATAATTTTTCATTTTTTAAGAAAGCTTTCATTGCCAAAAAAGCGCCAAATGAAGCTTGCAAAACTAGTTTTGATTTAGTGAAATCAAGTTTTTAGCCTAAAATACCTTCATGTCACGAACATTATTCGATCGCTTCAACCGCTCGACATTGGTCTAAAGTTCAAATATTTCAAACCAGTTTTCTCGGCAATACAACTTCAGAAAATTTTTTCAGGTTGATCGAATTACGACTGAAAGGGCTTCAACGTGAAACATTACATAGACAAGGAAACTCAAGGAAACATGAAAAAAATTGCTTGTTTTTTGAAAAAAAAACTTCAAGTAAAACATTTACGGTCTTGAAGCTCTTTGAATTTCGAGAACAATTTCGAGAACATTTTTTCTGGTAAATTCAAGTCAATTTGAGAAAAAGGCAAAGTTTTTATTGCGCTGAGAAATCTGAAAATTATAAACTACTTTCGAAACTAGAAGATGATCACGTTTTCGTGACCTTTAAGCTTTTGCAGTTCGATAGTTGAGTTTGCATTCATTTTAACAAAGGAAATGAACTGAACTTAAAATGAAATCAAAAATCAAACCACAAAAAATTAATTTGAGTGTGACCAAATTTTAAAAGACTTTTTCTGAAAAAAAAACAAAAAAATCAGCAAGACTTCTATAAGACTATTATCTACGTTCATAACTCTTAAAAAGTGCACATATACCTAAGGACATTGATAAGTATGATTGCACTTAAGTTATTAGAGCATTTTAAGGTTGTTCTTAAAAAATCATCAAGACCTAAGTAAGAGTCCGAACGACGTTCATCGACTCTTACAAAGAACTAAAACACAAACGACTACAAACTTTTCTCCATTTTCAATGATCGGAACAACAAAAAACGAGTATCTTCTTCAAAAAAGAAGTTTGTCGTTTCTCGCAGACAAGAAGGAGATGCGGGAGGTATATACTAATATTAATTTTTTTTGAAGACATTGCCCATAGCTCCCTAAAGAGCAATTGAGTTGCTTTGCTTCTATTCAACTAAGGAGTCATTTTCATCAACTCTTCGCTATAAAAGATGACAAGAATTTTCAACACTTTCGCAATGACCTATCAATCAGTCCCATCTGAGTTTCATTCATGATTCCTGATTTTGGGTTAAAAAAAAACATCCGACTTCGAAGTCCCTCCCTTTTACCCGAGAAAGAAAATCCATTTTTGACTGTTAGCTTATTGGGTAACTTACTTTCGTTTGGCTTTGCATTCGCGCCTTTCAGATCGGAATATTTCTCATCGAAGTACAATGCACTGTAATTTGCTCCAACGAAATCTCGAAGCAACTCTCCGATCATTTTCATCTGGAAATTTCCCGGAGTCGAGCCCTGAAAATAGGAACGTTCAAACTCTATCAAACATCAAGCAGAGCTCAATAAATATTCCCAAATAGGTTTGATCTAGACGGATTTTGAATTTTAGAAAGTCAGAAAATAAGTTGGCCTCTTTTAGTTCAAGAAATTCAAGTTGGTGAAACCAATCGAGTTCTTGGTCCAAAAATAACCGATGTCTTTGTAGGTAAAATAAAACTCAGATATTCAGTTAAATCTTTAAACAATTTTCTAGGATTTATATTGCGTGAATTGAAGAGTTTTAATCTGAGTTCCGCCTATCATGACCAATGAGCTCTAAAAACAGAATTATGCTTCACATTTCTGTCATGAAAATAAGCTTTGACAGATACAGATCTCTAGGTAAATATCGTCATCCAATATTTAGGCTCAGTTTTCTCTTTAATTAAAAAAAAAACAAGTACTGATTTAGTAACTAGGAAACTGGTTTAACTTCAATTTTCATTAGAAATAATGAAGATAATGTTTGAACGCACAGCGACAAAGTGCCTTACGTGTTTTGTCTATAAATAAATTGATCAATAGACATGATTAAAAAATGTTCCATATAAATGCTCAGAATATTCCAAACAACGGTCTTCTCCAGTAAATTGTCACAGATGCAGAGAGGAGCCTGGAATTATTTGTGATATACACAATGGTTGATAAGCAATATAATTACTTTATTTATCGAGACAGATACCCGTTGAGTGAAGGACGTTGACTAAAAAAAATTTGAACTTCAGATTATGGATTAAAGAGCAATAAAGAGGAGCAAAATTAGAAGTTTATGAAATTTTCGTTTCCTTAACAGTCATTTTCAATCTATGGTTAGAAACATAGCCAAAAAAAGTTTAAAAAAAAGAGTCAACGAATGCAAAGAGACAGAACAAAAAAACTGACTGATATATTTTTCGAAAAATTCAACTCTCGAATTTCAGAAAAAAAACATATATATACATTTGAACTTCCAGATTTTTGTAAATTTATAATTGTCGCTTCCTAGCGAGTGTTAGGTAATGTTTTTACTCCGCTGGAAAATCTACAAATTCAATTCAACATTCGAAACCGAAAATCGATCACGTTTTTTTGCGCCATTTTTACGTCTGTATTTGGATAGCGCAATTTGACAGACTTTTAGCAGATCATTTTGAATTGAACTCAAAAAGTCCGTATAGACCAAAATGCATTCATGAATGCATTAAAAAAATTTGAATGCAGTTCAGTATTAACTAGAGCATTTTACGACTACTTCTGGAAAAACGAAAAAAAAAAATCTCATTCTATAGAAGAGTATGAACTACGATCAGCGCCCTCAACGTGGACTGAACCTATCCTAAAACATTGCTTGAAAATTTCCAGATCACGCCCTACACAATTGTGCCACTGAATAAATTGGACTGTATTAAACTAAAGGCAGTCGCACTGCTTTTGCATGTAATACATTGGAAAATACAAAACGCTCTCCTCGTCTCAATTGATGAATTAAAAATGCATCAACTGTGTTAAATGATCAAAAATTCAATGTCATTGCATTCATTGTATAGGCTATTATCTAGCCAATTCAGCTTCCTGCTTTAAAGAGGCCACCAAAAATAGCACTTATAATTGCGACTTAGGTTGGGAAAAAAATGTAGCCTTGCAATATCATACTTGGTTTTCCTTTTAGCGAGGCCAGTAATCAAAACACGAAAAATATAGTAATAAAAAATTCTTTGACTCATTTAAGAGCAATTTGAGAACCATCAGATAAAAAAAATCGACTGGGAAATTTTTTACGTGCACAGCAAGCTATCCTCCCCTCTCCTTTCTGCTAGTAATAATTACAGAGACGAAGCTTCGCAAACTCTAGCAAAAACGCGACAAAAAACAGCTTTAAAAAGCACAATAAGAGAAAAGTATAAATATGCCTCGGATTAGCAAAAAAAATCTGCAACGTCTGAGATTCGCACCCACGAACTTGAGATTAACAGTCACACACACACACACACACACACACACACACACACACACACACACACACACACACACACACACACACACACACACACACACACACACACTATCCACTAAGCCAAGGAAGCTTATCAGTTATAGAACATAGAGAATTAAACACTAGCCACAAATAAAGCAGTGAACAGATGCTATGCAATGTCCAATCACTGAAATTTCCAAATTATTAAACACTTTAATTTACAAATTAGGTTAGAAAAAATGAATGTTCTTAATAACACACTAAGCCGGCGCTAATGTAAAAATCTGAAGTATTGATAATTTAGCGGAATCACTTGTTAAAATTGTCCTCATAATCAGCTGAATAAGAAAAATTGATTTTTAATGTATAAAGACAGGCACTTATCGTTTGTAGGATATTGCCTACAATATTATAAAAATTGGTCAAAAAATCATTGATAAAAAGGCCGGAAAATTAGAAGTCTGTGACTTCTACCTTTCCCCTGAAGTTTTCTCTATTCGATGGTTTGGAATAACCACGCGAATTACAACTAAAGAAATTAGTTTTTCTTATAGTTTTAAAGCCACCTGAAAATTAATGTCATTGATACTCAAATAAGCTGTACTTTTTACAAACACGTAATTCTTTTAAACAATGCAATTTATTTGATCGATCAGCTGTACAGACGAAAAAACGGTATCCATTTCAGTATCAATTAACGAGCTCTTTATAAACAAAAAAATTAAGTTAAACGAAAAAGAATAATCTCCCTCCGTCTATCCACTCATCGAACTCCAGAATAAGAAAACTTTTTATTTTAGGGAACTTATATTGGGTTGCAAACAAAAATCCAAGAAACATAATCAACAAACAAATGGGAAAAGGTCAATGAACGAAGATAATTGAGCGATGAACTGAAATAGAAATCAGACAGAAAAAAGTTATTAACATTTTTTGAAACTTCCCAAATTCGACGAAAAACCATCAAAATGAGGCTTTGTAACTTTCCAATACATTTTATGATTGAACTTATCTATCTCATAGGGCAAGCCTAATTATCAACTCAACTAGAGAACAATGTATCAGAAGGCAATAAGCTGTACTTTTTACAAGCACGTAATTCTTTTAAACAATGCAATTTATTTGATCGATTAGCTGTACAGACGAAAAAACGGTATCCATTTCAGTATCAATTAACGAGCTCTTTATGAACAAAAAAATTAAGTTAAACGAAAAAGAATAATCTCCCTCCGTCTATCTACTCATCGAACTCCAGAATAAGAAAACGTTTTATTTTAGGGAACTTATAATATTGGGTTGCAAACAAAAATTCAAGAAACATAATCAACAAACAAATGGGAAAAGGTCAATGAACGAAGATAATTGAGCGATGAACTGAAATAGAAATCAGACAGAAAAAAGTTATTAACATTTTTTGAAACTTCCCAAATTCGACGAAAAACCATCAAAATGAGGCTTTGTAACTTTCCAATACATTTTATGATTGAACTTATCTATCTCATAGGGCAAGCCCAATTATCAACTCAACTAGAGAACAATGTATCAGAAGGCAATAAGCTGTACTTTTTACAAGCACGTAATTCTTTTAAACAATGCAATTTATTTGATCGATTAGCTGTACAGACGAAAAAACGGTATCCATTTCAGTATCAATTAACGAGCTCTTTATGAACAAAAAAATTAAGTTAAACGAAAAAGAATAATCTCCCTCCGTCTATCTACTCATCGAACTCCAGAATAAGAAAACGTTTTATTTTAGGGAACTTATAATATTGGGTTGCAAACAAAAATCCAAGAAACATAATCAACAAACAAATGGGAAAAGGTCAATGAACGAAGATAATTGAGCGATGAACTGAAATAGAAATCAGACAGAAAAAAGTTATTAACATTTTTTGAAACTTCCCAAATTCGACGAAAAACCATCATAATGAGGCTTTCTAACTTTCCAATACATTTTGTGATTGAACTTATCTATCGCCCAATTATCAACTCAACTAGAGAACAACGTATCAGAAGGCAATAACCTGTACTTTTTACAAGCACGTAATTCTTTTAAACAATGCAATTTATTTGATCGATCAGCTGTACAGGCGAAAAAACGGTATCCATTTCAGTATCAATTAACGAGCTCTTTATGAACAAAAAAATTAAGTTAAACGAAAAAGAATAATCTCCCTCCGTCTATCTACTCATCGAACTCCAGAATAAGAAAACGTTTTATTTTAGGGAACTTATAATATTGGGTTGCAAACAAAAATCCAAGAAACATAATCAACAAACAAATGGGAAAAGGTCAATGAACGAAGATAATTAAGCGATGAACTGAAAAAGAAATCAGACAGAAAAAAGTTATTGACATTTTTTGAAACTTCCCAAATTCGACGAAAAACCATCACAATGAGGCTTTCTAACTTTCCAGAACATTTTATGATTGAACTTATCTATCTCATAGGGCAAGCCCAATTATCAACTCAACTAGAGAACAATGTATCAGAAGGCAATTTTGAAAGAGCTTACTTTAATTTTTGAGCGAATTACATTGAACTTGACTTGAAAAAATCAAATTTCAATCCGCATTTAATCTAATTTTGTGAGATCAAATTTTAAGACTTTTCCCTGAAAAAAATATTAGGACCAATAAAAGTCTCTTCACAACGTTCATTGACACTGACAAAAAAACACAGAAACTGAAAACATAGTTTTAATATTAGAGCCTGAGAGTTATTTTTAAAACGGACTGAGAAGACAAATGGTTTACAAGCAAAGCGTGTACTATAATAAATCCAGTACAATTATATATATCTAGTGTCCATGTGTACACTAGATATTTATTACTAGTTACCTTACTGCTCGTTTTGTTACCTTACTGCTGCCAATCGGTTACGGCAAACTAAATATGATACTGTAAAGTGACTAAGATCTATCGTGCCCAGAATATAATCTGAAAAAAAAACTCGAATAAGACAAAGGGCAACATATTCAAAGTCAGTGACTTTTAGCTTTTTTGCAATCAATGTCC